CGTACGTACGTATAGTACGTACGAACGTACGGTTAAGTAACGTAAACGTAACGTTAAGTTAGTTTCGTGTGTGTAGTAGTATCGTCTCTCTCTCTCTCTCTCTCTCTCTCTCTCTCTCTATATATATATATATATATATATATATATATATCATTTAATGATTTAATAAGATCTTTTTTTTGAAGTTTCTTTTTTTTTTCATAAGTGAGAAATTTGTGGTTGATCGATTTGGCCATGTGCTCCATTTTGTGTTGAATCACAAGATATTAGTTTGCTAGCTGTCCTCATCATCTTTCGAGTTTTATCCCAACTATTTGAAGTCGGCTACGTTTGTTAACTGTCCTATAACCAAAATAATGAAACACTTAACCGTATATGTCGTTTCATCCTTTATAAGTTGTAGTGTGTGTTATCAGAATTGGACCAGCCACCAAATTAGTGAAGGGTTTGGTCTAGTTGAACCGGTTTGACTGTCAGTCGAACTGGTTGGACTAGATTCTCAAAAAATAAAGAAAAAGAAGAATAATAATTTAAAGATATAAACTATAGTATAGTTTTTTTTTCCCGACTTTGTTTAACTGGTTTGAGTCTGACCGATAAAAAATTGCTTGTTCGACTGGCCAAAATTGTTCAAACATTGGTTTTGACTGGTTTTCAAGCAAATCAGGTTTTTGCTTCGGACCTGAACCCGGCAAATCAATGTTGGCAGTTCAACTGGTCGAACCCGGCAATTTGGTCTGGTCTTGATAACTATGGTTGTGGCTTGTAGATTTTTTTTTTTTTTGACAATTGTAGATGTTCCTCTCGCGTAGTGTCTAAGCATAAATTCCTCCTATAAAACTATTTGCAAATGTTTTTTGGATTTTCAATTTCTTGAAATCTCTAAGTTCCTTGGAAGCTGGCAATGGCATTTAACCCTGGCTGTTGCTTTCTCATGTAAACTTTGGATTTATGCACTTTGTTTGTCACTTTCTGTAACAAAGAATATTCTTCCTTTTTTTGTTAGAGAGAGTAAAAGCTCATGAATTTCTGTTCTTTTTGATGGATTTCTATACTGCGGAAACTCTCTGCCCTTTTCTATGATGCATTGATACATGAAATGGGTGCATCTTCCATGAAAATGGGTACTTGACAAATGTGGAATGACAAATATGATGTCCATTTTGATAGCGACGCTCCACTGTCTCTACTTTCTTATGAATTTCTCGCTTCTCTTGATATTTCTATGACTTCATTACTTTCTTCCTTGCTATTCCTGTGTTACGCTGACATCAATGGCACTGTATTATGTTGGGTGCTAGAGTCAAAATATAAAAAAAAAATGTGATATGATTTATTGTTTGCATGTGCAGTTTTGGTCCCAGAGAAAGTAAGAAAGCAATGATGTATAGTGATACTGGTCGGTTAAATTGTAGTGTGAGCTTCACAACTTTTTCCACACCCATTCGCGGGCAGGTATTTGTTGAGCGACATTTTTTTTAACTCTCATGGTTGTATTTATTTCGTTCTTATTGTAGGGTATATTCTTATATGCTCAAGGTACCTTCTTTTGAAACCTCAAATTCTTGGTTTTTGGGTGAATTTTTTTCACTTAACTTTTCATTTTGTATGTGTGTCTTGCAGGGATCAGAACACAAAGAGTTCTCCTCAATGCTACATAAAGCTTTGGAAGGTGCCATAATGCTGGAGACTTTCCCAAAGACAACCGTTGATGTATTTGCTTTGGTTCTGGAATCTGGAGGCAGTATGTTTGTGACTTTGTGTTTCTATATGTCAGAGTTAGTTATATAAAATTATTCTACAATGCTAGTTGTAAGTTGGTGTCAAACCGCGTATTATTAAGCGTTAGGCTTGTTGCCATACTTTCGTTTTAGGTTTTGGCTATGTATATTCTCTGACTAGGTCCTTGCATGGTAGTTTTTACCATGGTTACCTGGACATCAACTGGGTTGATTCTAGAATCCTTCCTTTAGGGTTCCTAAACAGTTTTAAAGTTCATTTTTGACCTTGTGACACTAGTTTCTCTTGGAAAGCTTGATATATTTATTGTAATAGTTGTGATGTTCATATCTTTCCTATATTATTTATGATGAGATGAATATGATGGATTGCAAGCAAATTATATATAGTTGTGTTGAGCTCTGCTAGGCTTTGGACTTTTCAGCATTGGCTCCATCCTAACTAGAAGTATATACCGTCCATATGATTGTATGCTAATCTTTCAAGCTGAATTTAAGTGATTACTTATATTCTCCCAACTAAGGGACACAGTTTATATCATCCATAATTCATGTACTATATCGAAAATTAAAGGGAAAATAATACAAAACAAGAGGCATTTGGTCATGATCATTGTCTTAAAAAACTTCTTTGTTACTTTCAAGTAGAAGGCAGATAATAATCCATTGTCATATTGTACGGCTTTTTCTTGCTACTTCATGAAACCATACTTTTACCCAAGGATGTGTGCCACCTGAATGGAACCTTCATTTATTTTGACATTATGCTGTACCTGCAATTAAGTAAATTTGTTTTCCTGTAATTTCATTAAAAAAGCATATTGCTACCAATCCCCATATTAAATAGATGGGGCATATATCTGTTGTTCCTCGTCATATACTTAAGACCCATTTGATGGCTATGGAATGCATAAATTTGGGAGAATGCATATTATTTTCATCAGTTTCCTTCTTTCTGGCATTCGCTATACCCTACTAATGGGTTATATTGTAGAAAATGCTATATAATGACAATAAAACACTCAAATTTTGAACACTTAATACTAACGCTTGGCCCAGAAAGGGGAAAAAAAAGGAACGAAATCTGAATAGTAAGCATCTATTTGAGTCATCCAAAATCTATCTCCTTCACATATTGACTTGAAGACGAAGTTTTACACATGAGATTTCATGTTTTGGGCTTTGTTCTCATTATTTTAATTTTAATGGGTAAGTTTTTGGGAATATTAGCAAGTGAATGGTTTGTTACTTTAATTTTTGTGGCAATATTCAATAATTTAATATATTTCTTTTTATGATATTTGCTATGAATTCTAATGCATCTTATGATGTCTTGTTCCATGGGGGCATAGCAATCTTGGTTTGCATTAATTATTTTAATATGTATGCTTCATATAGTTTAAACTTTTGTTCTTTTATTTATGTTGTCATGGCCTTAATTAGGTTGTGTTTTCCTGAATGTTTTGGCTTTATAGGTGAGCTTCCTGTTATTATATCATGTGCAAGCCTTGCTTTAGCTGATGCTGGAATTGCAATGTTCGACCTTGTGACTTCAGTTTCAGTGGTATCTTCTTTGGCCTTTACTGGAATTTCTTTTTTTTTTTTGTCTTGTTTTTCGGGTTGGAAATTGCTAGGTATCCCTTATAGGTTATTTTCTATAAATCTTGTGAGTATATGGTTGAGTCCTTGAGAGAAGATAGTTTTTTCATTAATAAGTATAGAACTTTCCCTAGAAAATAGACTTATGGCATAGGTGATCGGGTGGTAGGTTCTACAATATGACGTCTTGAATTCCATTTTTATTAAAAGTGGGGGATTCTTTCCCCACTGATCATATATATATATATTGAGAAAGAGAGAGAGAGAGAGAACTTTCCCCATTAATTCTTTTAATTTATCTAAAAGATAAATTTTAATGCAAACATAAAGATAAGCTTGCAAAAAAAGTATGAAAATTGTAGAAATTACAGAAATAAACATATTATAGGAATAAACATTTGTTGAATTGAACTCTGTGATGAGGGAGAGTTTCTCTTCGTTTTCAATAAATGTTCTATTTCCTTTGAGTTTCCTATTTATGTGAGTCTAAACTTCATATCTTCCCAGTGAGAAACAAAAGCTTGAAAATTCTCCTCAGATATGTCTTCTTTGTGAGCTTCCTGAATCCTGAATATGTGATATGTTGCAACTTGATTTTTTCCGTGAAAACACAAAATAAAAGAGACAAGCAGAAAAACGAAGATTTATTCAATTTTATCAAGGGAAACCTTTGTCTCTGCCCACATACAATCTATATGTGTCTAGGGACCTGAAACCATTCAATTGTAGTGATTTGGGAACAATGTAACAGGCTGGTTTAAATTGCGTTTATCAGGCCATAATTAATATATGGCATTGTGTCGGCTTACTCATAGCCGTCTATTTCACATACAAATGAAAGAAAGCTCACCCTTTAAGCAAAACTTACACCATTTGTTGTAATACTCATTTATAAATATTGGTTTATCAGTCTTGTTTCAAAGATGACCTAGTGATCGATCCTGTTTTTGAGGAGGAAAGCTGCCAAGATGGAAGCCTTATGATTGTGTGCATGCCTTTGCGTAATGAGGTCACTCAACTAACAGTAACTGGTGAATGGTCCACACCTAAAGTGCATGAGGTATGGAGAAAGTTCCTGATTGTCAGTTTTCTTTGATAATATTGATTAGAAAGGGGTTTTCAATTGTATTGAAAGAAAGTTTTAAGTGAGTATTTTCAATTTTTTGGGATAAAACTATGCCTGTTCTTTATATATTTGGTTTCTGTTTCATCTATGGTTTGGGCATGTCTTTCTTTTCTAAGTTTAATATCTATAGTTTAGCGTAGCTTACCAAAATTCTATCTAAATATTACGTAAGGAAAACGTTTATATAAGGTGTCAACCTTTACTTTAGAAGTAAGGCGATCTCAGAAACTCATCTGAAAAGGTTTTCTCGATGCCCAAAAACCCCTGCATTTAATCATCTTGGCCTCAAGATGTATTTCAAGATTTTTGAGTTTTTATGGAGCTGTTTGATCGTACAAATTTTTTAGGGCTTTAAAATTCATAATTAGGGTGAAAATAGATTTTCAAGTTATCGTAAGGATTTCCGGCACTAAAACAACATCTTTCGGCACTATTTAAAGGTGTACCTTACTTTTATTGAAACTACTATCGGATAATTGAAGGTGCACCTTAAAACAATAGGAAACATAGCTAGGGCTACCAACAGGTTGGGCCTATTTTCAGTGTGCATGTCACCGGAGTAACATGGGCTCGCCACCCTGGCAAGCTTGAGTATCCCAAAGTTGGTGTCCAACTCGGGGATCTTAAAATAATTATAAAAATTCAAGTAAAATAAGAAATCTATTTATAATTTGTTTTTTTTTTTTGATGTTTTCTAGCTAACACCCTTTACACAAAAAGTTCACTTATTTTTGACGAAAATACCTTTTACTCACATAACAAATTATTTTTCGTTAGAGAGGGCGGTTTGGCCTTTTGAATAAGCTGTCGGGCTATTTTTTTTGCTGGAATGGGCGGTACGGCGTTTCATGGTAGCGGTCCGGCCGCATTTTGAAGGGGCAGTCCGGTGCTTTGATATCCCAGTTCGGCGTTTTGAAGTATGTCGGACTGATTGTACAAATGCGGTCCGGCGTTTCCTTTTATTGGGATCCGAAAACCGGTCATTGTACCAATGCGGTCCGGCGTTTCCTTTTATTGAGATCCGAAAATGATTTGTCATGTGAAGGGAGGGTATTTTCATTAAAAAAGAAATGAGTTGGGGGTATTAGTTATAAAAGATGGTTTTTATTGGGATCCGAAAATGATTTGTCATGTGAAGGGAGGGTATTTTTATGAAAAAAAAAATGAGTTGGGGGTATTAGTTATAAAAGATGGTTTTTATTGGGATCCGAAAATGATTTGTCATGTGAATGGAGGGTATTTTCGTAAAAAAAACAAATGAGTTGGGGGTATTAGTTATAAAAGATGGTTTTTATTGGGATCCGAAAATGATTTGTCATGTGAAGGGAGGGTATTTTTATGAAAAAAGAAATTAGTTGGGGGTATTAGTTATAACAGATGGTTTTTTAGAAAAATAAGTGAGGAAAGTTTTTAGAAAAATAAGTGAGGAAAGTTTACGGTGGGGGTAGTATCTAAAAAGTATATTTTTGGGGGTTTTAGCAATTTTCTCTTTTTGGCAAAGATCGAAAAGTATTTTGATCATGAATACAAATTTTTATATTTTTCCATATTTTTCGAAAGTACTCCTTGTCACAATTGATTTTCAAAATCTATTTTTTACTACTTTCTTTATATGTGTTTTGTTTAATCTTACTTTAAACATATATTTCTCATATTTTTGGTTTTTTTTTTTTTAAAATTTTTAACATATTTTTTGCCTAGCCATTACCTGCCCGACTTAGGCCAGTTGCTTAGACCCACACATGGTTGGTTTCCGCAGCTGGTTCATGCAATTGAGCACTGCTGTGTTGTATGATATAGAATTTGGGTTTAGGCTTGGGCCACTCAAAGGGTGGCCGGTGCTTGGTGGGTTAATTATTCGGTCCTTGAAGCTCGACCCAGGCCCGGGCCCTAGCCTGGGTCCACTATTCCGAACGTGGTCCAAACTTGGGCTGACCCAGAGGCTCACGGCCATCGTGGCCCATTTGGCACCCCTAAACATGGCGCGTGCACACACACTCTCTCTCTCTTTCATGAAATGGATAGTTAACATTCTCTGGCCTCTGTGCATAGGCAATGGACCTTTGTCTTGGGGCATGCTCAAAGCTTGGAGATATTATGCGTTTGTGCCTCAAAGAAGCAGCTTCAACCTTACAATGATTGGATAATGCTCTCTGTCTCTCTCTCTCTCTCTCTAAATGAAATGTCAATATTAGGCATAGCCTTCAATTTTGTTTGTCATCATTTCGTGCTTTTTACATACAATTGGAGCTTTTTAGGTGGTGTTAGTAGTAGTGCCCCTTTTATCTTTAACTTTGTTAAGTGCATATTTCTATGGTCCGAAATGGGAAAGGATCAGAAGCCATGTATATGCCTCCCAAAATGCTGAAAATCAATTTTGGCCAATTCACAAGTTGGAAAGCAAGTTGTGGAGAGAGAGTGTGTGATGTTATATGAGTGAACAGGAGAGAGAGAGAGAGTGATGTTATATGAGTGAACAGGAGAGAGAGAGAGAGAGAGAGAGAGAGAGAGAGAGAGATCTGTAATGTGAGTAGAATATGCTTAGTAATAGCATAATAGATGTGATTTTGCTCTAACTTGTTAAGAGCTTCTTTTGAACTTGTGTGAGAGATGAGAGTCTTGGTTTAAGGCACAGAGAGAACGACATTGTGTCTTGTTCTAAGGGCCTCTTCGGAGTTCTCTGTCTCTCACTCTCTTTCTCAGTCACTGTAGGGAAAACTTGGGCGAGCCGATTCAAATTCGCTTGACTAATCTAGATTCATCATCTTGGCGAGTCAAAATATCTTCAAGTTGGGTGGTCTGACTCTAAGATCTTAAAGAAGATTAAAAAAATATAAAAAAATAAAACATAATAAAAAATAAGAAATTTATATATAATATATATATTTTATGTTTTTTTTTTATCATTTTGGTAAAGATTGAAAAGTGTTTTAGCTTACAATATTTATTTTTACTTTTTTTTAAAATGTTTTCTTTCGCATTGGATTTTTTTCAAAATAGATGGGCTTTGTTTAATTTTATTTGAATATATATATATATATATATCTATATATATATATATATATA